TATTTCCAAGTACCCCTAAGTTAACCCTACACCCAAAAAAGGCAAACTCCAACTGAAATTTCTGCCATGTTCACCCGCGGCAGCGAAAGAATCCACGACCTCAGGCGCTCCGGTAGCCAGACTATATGAGCTATAGTCTAAACTCCTTAAAGGGGGGTTATATAGGGGATAATATAGGGGATTACTATAGGGGTTATTAAGGGGGATACTAGGAGTTTAGACAATGGCTCATATGGCGGTTTCTGGAAGTTAAGGTTACCATTTTAGGGCTCCCCGTAATGAGGATTATAGTATTTGGGGGTCTAGGTTAGGGTCCCCCTGTTTATGGAAACTACAATATCTCCGCGATCAGGGTTGCGGGCCATTTTTCAAGGTATGGGTACCCTAGCGGATCTGATGGATATATGGGATTTCCAGTAACTAAGCATCCCTTTGTGGGGGGCCCTATGGAAAGGATTATCGTGTTTTGGCAGTCTCGTATTTTGGGGCTTATATTGAGGTTCCCATGAATTCATGGAAACTACCATTTCTTGGAAGTGTTAAGGGGCTAGCGATCCCTATGAGGTATCTTCTCGGTCTGATTCAACGAAATTGCCCCTACCAGGGTGTCCAGGGTTCAGAAGTCTGTACTACAATAGCTCTCTTGTGAGCTCTGCTCGGGTGGAACATGACTTCCCTTCAAAGAAGCCTACAGACCTCCCAAACAACCCCACAATGCATTTTACCAGTACGGCCAAAACCATCAACTGAAAGCCCTGATCCTTATGAACCTGACCACCAAGCCATGAAAGCAGAAATCCAATCCCCCAGGCCCAACCCCCCAAAACCAACCCCCCACCCCACATGCTGATAACCCGACAATTCACTTTAAGCCCCTAAGCCCTAAACCCTGAGCCCTAAGCCCCGGAACTGAAAATGGAGTGGCGGGCTGCCATCCCCTTTGCAGTCGACTAGCGGTTGCGTAGGCATCACTGAATTCACTCCTCATCTGTCATGGGTTTAGGAGGGTACTATGGCCCCCCACAAATGAAGGGTTCATCAGGCTCAATCATTGAGCATTGGGGATTATAAGCACCCTAAACCCTAAACCTTGAGCTTGCAGGGGTGCAGGAAGTTGGGGGGTGCGGAGAGCTTCTCAAGTGGGACCCCTTCAAGGAGCTAAAGAAGCATACATGGTACAGGGATCAATGCTTCATGCTTGGGTTTGGGCTTTAGGTTTGTAGAGAGCTGTGGGGCCCTTCTGCACCCAGGGATTGCGGCAGTTCCATTTGTAGTTTATAGAGATCATCCAAGAATTAAAATCTTTGCATCAAGTGGCAGCGGGGAAAGGCTTGGGAGCTAGCTTCGTCATTTGAGCTATAGTCTGAACTCCTGAAGAGGGGGTTATGTAGGCAATTATATAGGGGAGTAGAATAGGGTTATCAAGGGGGAAACTAGGAGTTTAGACTATACTTCATCTAGTCCTAGGGTGATGGGATTGTCGACTTCGTGGTCTGATGTATAGATTCCCTTTGGGAGGCTTGTCCTCAAAAATCGCCCGGCTCTCTGGTGACATCAAGGTTCGAGGTACAACCGTGTCATTCTGAGGGGTAAGGAGGCAGCATTTGAGGGTTAGGGATTCGGGTATATCAAGCCTCAACCCTACACCCAAAACCCTAAATTGCTCATCTGCAGCGTCTTGGCGGAAGAACTCCAACCACCGCGCCTCTTCACCTCTACATGGGAGAAGTTTCCAAAGATTGAGATCCCTTTGCTGGGGAGATCCCATAAGATGCTCTGTGGGGGAAGTACGCCAAAGTCTAAGCGCTAAAAGCCTAAAACCCTGAAACCGTGCGGCCCGAGTGTCTCGTCACGCCAGCCCATAGTCCCAGGGCCGTGCGCTCTGACTTTGCACCTGGGTTTATTGCGACATTACCCTAGGAAGAAAAATGATCCTTTTACATACATATGAGGAATCCCATACACCAAAAAGTATGTAAAGGATCCCTAAAATTGATCCAGGTTTGGGGAGTAGGTGGTATAGGGCTTAGTTTAGAATTTAGGGTGTAGGGGGTACAAGGCGTTAACCCTAAACACTAAACTGTAAGGTTTTCCAACTTGATATCTTTAAACGCAAAACACGGCAAAAAAGCGACATTCCTCAGTCTGGAAATCTGGACCGAAGCAAGCCCTTCGAGCACCAGAGAGTTTAGGGTTTGGTTTTTAGGGTTTGAGGCTTTTAGGGTTTATAGGGTTAAGGGCTTTTAGGGTTTAGGGTGTAATTAGGGATTGAGGGTTACACAGATGTATCGCAGGGCATACGTCGTTTGTTAGGAATTCATTTCTCCGGTGCCCAGTAAGGAATGACAGAATGGGTTCTTTAGGACCATTCTAGAGGGTTCAACAGGGATTCCTTGTGGGATCCATTCCCAAATTGCCTACGAGGCAGTAGAAGAATCGCAGTAGCTCTTGCTTCCAGTTTTTGCAAGGATGAGCGTGAGCTGATGCCTCTTCGGAGCATTCAGTGACAAACATGGCTCCTGTTCATGAGGGCGCATGGCGCTTGCGAATGGGGTTATGTAAAACAATCTCCAGATATGGTTACAGCTAGAAATTTCCTATGTATTGTCACTTCACTTGCTCAACTGCTCGTGATCTTCAAAATTGATAGCACTAAACAAGCATAAACGAGGAGACACGAAAAGTGGTTCAACACGCGGAAAATACAGCTTCAACAGGACGATAGGAGAGGTAGTGCCAAAAAACACATTTCGCCGTCTCATTGAATTTATAAGTATGGTGCCACACCGTGAGTGTGCAGCTCTCAAAGTACAGGGTCTTCAAACAAGTCCCTAAGCCCTAAACCCTAAACTGCAGCCACAAGCACAGGAAAGGCTTTGTTCCGGTCACGCAATGGAGAGCCTTGGGCAAGTGTAACTTAAGCAAGCAAGGACCAGCGCCCAACGCGCAGGGTAATTCCCATAAACAAAGTCTAGGGTTTAGGATTTAGGGTTTAGAGGGTTAGGGCAGCCCAAGTAGACACCAAAAGGGTACCCTCAAATTGTGGGGACCCCGCAGAAGGGTACCCCTAACTTGTGGGGAACTCCCCTACAGCCTATCGTCCGGCGGTACGTAGGCTCTCCCCGCCCACTAAAAGTCATAGATAGGAAACACATTACAAGTATGTCAGAATTGCAGGTATAGCAACTGCGGCTTAGTGTTTTAGGGTTTAGGGCTTATGGGGTTTAGAGTTTAGGGCTTTGTGCTGAAAATTAGTAGCAGGCAGAGCCCAAGCCACTAACTTTCAAATTCAAATTGGACTGAACCTGCCAAGCTCCCAGGATACAGGGTTCAGACTTTAGGGTTTAGGAGTGTAGGGTTGAGGGGTTTGGGATTTAGGGGTTTGGGGTTTAGGGTTCAGAGTTTAAGGTTTCGGGGTTTAGGGGTTTAGGGTTTGAGGGTGTCGGGTTTNNGGGTGTTTAGGGTTTAGGGGTCAGATACAGCTGTCAGTCTCCAATGCTGGAGCTGCTGCGCGGCTTCAAGATAAAAGTGCTTGATCCCACCGCCCGACCCTTGTGAGAATTATACAATGACTACACTTGCGATCTTGGGAGGCGGGGCTATCAAGAGGGTCAACAGCGGGCGCTGGCTCACTGATGCTTACGGGGAAATAGCAGGGAGAACTTTTATAGTCCTCTCATACTGCAATTAACCCCCCCCCCCCCCCCCCCCCCCC